AGTCCTAATATTTCTTCTGCACCACCAACCCTATATAGCAAACTGCCTGCTGGTCATCTTTACCTGTTTGTCTCATCAGCATCTTGAACCTAAGATGTATGAAATGGATCTCTCCCTATATTCATGCCTCCTCAAAGCTTTCCTATTTGTGTTGAGAGCCCCACCATCCTTCTACTTGCTCCAGTTTGCAACCTTGGAACCATCCTTAGCTTTTCCCTTTTCCTCACCTAGAGTTATAACTTGTATTATACCCACCCACAGAACCTTAGGCAGGAGCACAGATTGACTCAGGCAGCCAAGGACAGGGGGCAATTTTATTTTATTTTATTTTATTTTTTATTGGCTAGGCAATGGGGGTAAGTGACTTGCCCAGAGTCACACAGCTAGTAAGTGCTATGTGTCTGAGGCCAGATTTAAACTCAGGTCCTCCTGAATCCAGGGCCGTTGCTCTTTTCACTGTGTCACCTAGCTGCCCGACGGGGCAATTTTAAAAAGGAAAATGCGTGTCCCTGTGAAGCCAACTTTTCCAAGGGGAGATTTGAAGAAGTATAGGGGAGGAGTGAAGGTGAAAGAGACAGGGACAGCATAATCATTGAGCCATACTAGTTTTTTTCTGCTGTGGTGGACACTAGAGTCTTGACTGTCTAGTTTAGCCGTGTGGGAATAGCGTGGGGAAAATTGACTGAATAGAATAAATCTGAGAGGAAATTTAGCAAGTAGCAGCAACTGGAGTTTGCAGTTATGCTGATGAGAGTTCAGTGCCAAATATGGTTGGTCTGAAGAGTCTGCACAACCTCCCAACCAGAGGAGCACTAAAAACTCCATAGTGCCACAAATGGGAAAACCCTAGAGTAAACTACTACTTAACTTCCCAATGGGGGCAGCTTGGAGGAGAAACAACGCCTGAGTTTTTGGCTTACCTGTTAGAAGATTTGTTGCATGGTCTGAGGACAATCATAGTCTTGGAGGAGATGTCAATGTTGGGTGCATTAATATCAAGTACTTATTCATTCTTAATATTATTTATTAATGTTTTAAACCAAATGATTTATGTGAGTCTGTAGAGAAAACAACTTGTGATGTAATGAATGGAAAGAGTCAATGGGATGACGATGATGATGGTAGCAGTTATATTGTACTTTAAAGTTTGCAAAGTGCTTTACAGATGTTACCTCATTTGATAGGGGTACAGAGAGACATAATCACATTGGGTAAATCCATAACAAGCCCTTCATCTAAGGAAACGAAGTGCTGCTCTCCAGAAAGGGGCAGAGCTAAAAGGACAGAAGTGGCTAGCTCTGAGAGTCAGGGAGAGTACCCAGTACACGCTTTGTCTTATCCCCATCATACCCTTTAGTGTTGAATGGTAGGGATAATTATCTGGTAGCTTACTTCTGTTGAACTAGAGGAGACATGGCCCCAGTGTTGTAGATACAGAGCCCAACTTGGAGTCAGAAGATCTAGGTGTAAATTTTGCTTGTTAGATGCTTACTAGCTATATGACCCCAGGCAAGTCATTTAGGCTTTTTATACCTTGGGCTTCATCATGTTATAGATGAGGAGGTAGATCTATGACCTTTAATCCTATAATTCTGTGATTTAGTAATTGTCAATTCTCGATCCAAGGATTTTTCTAACTCAAAGTTTCCATGAAATCTTCTTGGACTTGACTTGTTATTTCATCAGTATAGGCAACATTGGATAAAGAACTTCATCTATTAATGCAGACTGACACCAACTCTGCAATTTATTGTCGTAGAAAATTGCCTATAGTATTAGTCTTTAGTCAGTCTTCATATCTAAATCCTGTATCCATTTTGACTTTATCTTGGTATAGGGTGTAAGATGTTGGTCTATGCCTAGTTTCTGCCATGCATTTTTTCAGTTTTCTCAGTAGTTTTTGTTAAATAGTGATTTCTTATCCCAGAAGCTGGAGTCTTTGGATTTATCAAATAGTAGATTAGCATAGTCATTGACTGCTGTGTTTTGCATACCTAACCTATTCCGCTGATTCTCCACTCTGTTTCTTAGCCAGTACCAAGTAGTTTTGATGATTGCTGCTTTATAATATATAATTGAAGATCTGGTACAGCTAGGCTACCTTCCCTTGCATTTCTTTTCATTAATTCCCTTGATATTCTGGACCTTTTGTTCTTCCAGATGAATTTTGTTATTGTTTTTTTCTAGCTCTATAAAATAACCTTTTGGTAGTTTGATTGGTATGATGCTGAATAAATAAATTAATTTAGGTAGAATTATCATTTTTATTATATTAGCTCGGCCTATCCATGAACAAGTGATGTTTTTCCAATTATTTAGATCTGATTTTATTTGTGTGAAAAGTGTTTTGTAATTGTGTTCGTATAGTTCCTGCTTTTGTTTTGGCAGGTAGCATACCAAATATTTTGTAATGTCTACAGTAATTTTAAATGGAATTTCTCTTTCTATCTCTTGCTGCTGGGCTTTGTTAGTAATATATAGAAATGCCAGTGATTTATGTGGGTTTATTTTACATCCTGCAACTGTGCTAAATTTGTTTATTATTTCAAATTATTTTTTACTTGATTCTCTAGGATTCTCTAAATATACCAGCATATCGTCTGCAAAGAGTGATAGCTTTATTTCTTCTTTGCCTATTCTAATTCCTTCAATTTCTTTTTCTTCTCTAATTGCTACAGCTACATTTCTAGCACAATATTGAATAATATAGTGGTGATAATGGACATCCTTGTTTCATCCCTGATCTTGTTGGAAATGCTTCTAGCTTATCCCCATTACATATAATGCTTGCTGATGGTTTTTGATAGATGCTGTCTATCATTTTAAGGAAGACTTCATTTATTCCCATGCTCTCTAGTGTTTTTAATAGAAATGAGTGTTGTATTTTGTCAAATTATTTTTCTGTATCTGTTGAGATAATGTGATTTCTATTTGTTACCTTTCAGATCTATGGAGAAGGAAAGAATTTATGACCAAACAAGAGATGCAGAATATTATGAAATGCAAAATGGATAATTTTGCTTACATTAAAGTGAAACATTTTTGCACAAACAAAGCAAATGCATCCAACATTAGAGGGGAAGCAGAAAACTGGAAAAGAATTTTTACAACCAGTGTCTCCGATAAAGGCCTTATTTCTAAAATATATAGAGAACTGAGTCAAATTTGTAAGAATACAAGTAATTTCCCAATTAATAAATGGTCAAAGGATATGAACAGGTAGTTTTCAGAGGAAGAAACTAAAGCTGTCTATAGTCATATGAAAAAATGTTCTAAACCACTATTGATTAGAGAAATGCAAATCAAAATGACTCTGAGGTATCACATCACACTTATCAGATTGGCCAACATGACAAAACAGGACAATGATAAATGTTGGAGAAGATGTGGGAAAATTGGAACACTTATACATTGTTGGTGGAGTTGTGAAATGATCCAACCATTTTGGAGAGCAATTTGGAACTATGCTCAGAGGACTATAAAATTGTTCATACCCACCAATACCACTTCTAGGTCTGTATCCCAAAGAGATCATAAAAATGGGGAAAGGACCCACAGGTACAAAAATATTTATAGCAGTTCTTTTTGTGGTGGCAAAGAATTGGAAACTGAGGGGATGCCCATCATTGGGGAATGGCTGAACAAGTTGTGGTATATGATTGTGATGGAGTACTATTGTTCTATGCAGACTTAAAAAAAAAAACCTGGAAAGACTTACATAAATTGATGCAGAGTGAAATGAGCAGAACCAGGAGAACATTGTGCGCTGTAACAGTCATGTTGTGGAATGACTGACTTTGACAAACTTGGCTTTTCACAGCAATTCAAGAATCTAAGACAACTCCAAAAGACTCACGATGGAAATTGCTATCCACACCCAGAGAAAGAACTATGGAGTCTGAATGCAGATGGAAGCATACTATTTGCTTTCCTTTTCCTTTGTTGTTTTGTTTTATTGCTTCATTCTCTTGGTTCCTCCCATTAGTTCTAATTATTCTTTACATTATGACTAATGGGAAAATATGCTTAATATCAATGTATAAGTAGAGCCTATATCAGATTGCACTCTATCTTGGGGTGGGGAGAGGAGTGGGAGGGGGAGAAAATTTAAAACTCTAAATATTGTGGAAGTGAATGTTGAAAACGAAAAATAAATAAATTAATAATTTTTTTTAAAAAAAGGAAATTGTCCTGGAACACTTAGAGGTTATGTAACTTGCCCAGGGTCATGAAGTCTGTATGGGTACTTGAACCGAGGTCTTCCTGACTTTGAGACTAGCTTTTTAGCTGCTACACCAGGATAGATGGCTCTACAGAATCATATTATTATAAATAATTAACCAGGTTCTGAAACATTATTTATTTCTGCTGTTATTAATTCAACAAATATTTATTGAGTACATACTTTGTCTTGGGGGGGCCCTTAAGGAACTTATGATACATTTGAGATTGAGAAGATAAGACACAAACCATCTAGAGCAATTTAGAAAACAGCATTCATACAAGACAAGTGAATTGAACCAACATATGGCTACAGACATAAACACCATTCTTATTCATCATGTAATTGTTAAGGATTCACCAAAACTCATGTAAAAATTCCCTCTTATAATCCAACATCTTGAATAATTGGTCAGCATACTCCTTTCTAGTAGCAGCTGTCCATCTCTGTTTTTTCCTCTTCCTAGACTCCACAATCTCTTGTGAACTGAGGGGAATGGGGTGTCCCACACACAACACAGCTATCAAGGCAGCTTCTTTTGCAGCAACAGTTTCCCCTGTCACCTACGTTGCAGTTCCCACGGGAGGCTGTCAAGTTCCTTCCTCTGCTTCCTACATCTCCCTTTGCCTAGGAGGGTGTATCTTGGTTCCGTTACTTTGCTTACTGGACTCAGCCCCCCAAGAAACTCCTGAAAAGGGGAAAGACTTCCTGGTTAGCCCTATAAATTTCAGTAGCTGGGAGTTTCTCCAGCTGTTTCTTAATCCTGATCTTCACCCACCATGCCAAAGCGCAGGGCCTGAAAGCAGCTGTGATTTCTCTTTGCAGGAGTTGCTGGCAGTGTTTGTGGAAGGAAGTAGCGGGCGGAGTCCCTTCACCAGGAGAAGCCTGGATCCAAGCTGTAGGAGAGAAGCAGCGTGGAATCTGTGTGAGACATTTAGTTCTATTTGTGTGAAATTTATGCCACTTCTATGGGGTTTCTTCATGTCTCTGTCTTTGGGCCCTTATCTCACTTTTGCTCTTATATTTTTCATGTCCTTGGACTGCTGTCACTTTGGTTTCTATCTTTGGGGAACTAGAACAACTGTAGGGTGAGATGTTCTCCCATTTAGGCCATATAATCTTAGGAAACATCATCAAGGAGGTTGTGAATCAAGGAATTTAAATAGATCATTTGTTCAAAAAGACAGAGCATCTGACTGGAAGAGAAGCCGTTTGGTCAGAGGTCAGGTCGGTGACTGACTGTAATATAAAGCAATTGTTTTTTATTTCATGGACAGAAGTTAACATGGAAAGAAGAAGATGAGTTGTCTGGGGAATATAGGAAAGTGAGAGAAAACTAGCATTTGGAAAAGTCCTACAGAGAGAGAGAAAGAGAGAGAGAGAGAGAGAGAGAGAGAGAGAGAGAGAGAGAGAGAGAGGAGAGAGAAGAGAGAGTCATGCCACCTGTGAGACAGACTTTTATCAGCTAGAGAATAAAAAGGTTGGGTTGAGAATCTTTATTGACTGTTATATTGATAGTCAAAGAAACTGTAGCAAATAAGGGTTTGCAAGTCTTTGGAGTGCATTTACAATGAATTAGGGGCTTTTAACTGAAAGGCAGTGACAATAAGAGCTGAAAATATTTGATATTCCTGTGTGCCTACCTGTAGCTTTGACTTTTGTCAAAAGTTCCCATGTCATTGGGAAGCAAAGGAAAAATGCAAAGACTTATCTTCCATGCACAATTGTAAGAGACTCTAGCCCCAGAGATGGGGAAGGCCCCTTAGGAAACTGTATTCAGCCTTAGGAAGCTTTTTGAAATGTCCAGATGCCAGACGCCAAACAGTTTCCCGTCACCAGCATAGACAGGTAGCTAGTTGTCTAAGGAATGGGCCTCTGTGTCCAGAGTCATAGCTAACATTTTAAAAATAAGACATTAACATAAGCAGCAAGAAAAGAATCCAGACATTAGCACCCTTGGCAGAGACCCTGGGACCCTGGGAACACTGTCAGGCTGCTCTACCTCGGGGCGAGGGGGGGGGGGGTTAGGAAGAGGTGGAGTTTACCAGGTGTGTGCCAGGTAGACAAGGAAGGAAGAGGGAATGCATATTCCACGTGATCTCCTCCTATTCTAATTAATTATTCTTTCTTACCAGGTACTAAGCTGATTTTTAAAAATAGTTTTTGAAAGAATATAAGTGCTGTCAATGTCCTCTATATTTTGGGCAAAGCGCTGAATACCACCCCCTTAGTTGTAGCTCTACCTCCATACTCATCCCAATCCATACCCTATAACTATGCATCTTCTAGGAAAGATGGAGCTATGAAGTAAGATATTCCAGAACTGATCCAGGGTTTGGCAGTCTGTATGGGATAAAGTGAGGTGTCCCATAGCATAATGCTGCCAACTATAGAGGAATGGGATAGTGGGAAAAACACTGGACTTTGGAGTCAAAAGACCTGGGTTCAAATATTATCTCTGTTACTTAAAACAAGTAGGACGTTGGGTGAGTCACTACTTCTCTCTGCCTCAGTATCCTCATTTTAAAAATGAAGGCATTGGATCAGGTGACTGATAAGGTCCTCACCAGTCTAGATCCTATGATGCCATGAGTAGCTTCCATCATCACTCTGGATCCCACTGGAGGATGCTTAAATATCGGTCCAGGGAAACCCAGTAGCCTAGTATGGAGACAGCATGGTTTAGTGGTCAGCGCATTGGATCTGTAGTCAGGAAGACCTGCATTCAAACTTTACCTTTGATATTTGCTAGCTCTGTGCCTCTGGCCAAGTCACTTACTTTCTATGTAAATCAATTTCCTCATCTGTAAAACTAGGGGGTTGGACTTAGCGGCTTCTAAGGTCCCTTTTAGCCCCAAATTTGTGATTCTTCTAAGAGAATTTATGTTGCTTCTGTTCATCTCCTGAACAGTTGGCATTTATGCCTTTTGGAAGGTCAAGTTCTCTGAGCCCAAGCCTAACAGTAAGGAAGTATGCTAGACAAAAAGGGAATTAGATTCTCACTAATCCTTTCAAAGGTTTTCTTCTCTTCCCTGACTTATTTATTATACCCATTTCGTGGCAAGAGTCAAAGGAATTTTCTTTGTTGAAGCACTCTCTAGCCTGTCATCTCAGACTACCTATTAACCCATTCAGAGTATGATACACACACACACACACACACACACACACACACACACACACACACACACACAAAACAAAACCTATCACTGAACTTTCAGTCCGTGTATATTAAGAAAGTGGTAACACTACTAGGCAGTGCCCAGCTCCTTCTTCTAGAACCCAGCTTTGATGCATGTTCAGTGATCACCTCATATGTCACCTGCAGACTCAGGGATGCCCATGAGAATACATGTAGAGTACTCCTTCTAGGACAGGGGGAGGGAACCTGTGGCCTCGAGGCCCTCTAGGTCCTCAAGTGTGACGGAATCCAAACTTCATAGAACAAATCTCTTTAATAAAAGGGTTTGTTCTGTAAAACTTGGACTCAGTCAAAAGGCAGTACCCAGGGACCTAGAAGCTCACTTGTTGCCCGGAGGCTACAGGTTCCCCACCCCGGCTCTAAGAGCACAAATTAACCAGTTCCTCCACAGGTCTATGAGAAGTAGGCATTGGAGAAGAGGCAGGTCAAGGATTTCAGTGTCAGGCTTGCTAGGTTAAGCAGAAGCACTTGTGGCCCTGGGCCAATTTAGCATTTCCTGGAAAATGAAGGCAGGACCACAAAGAGGTTATGGGACACTCCCTGTGGAGCAGCTGTTTGTATAAGGGAGAACTTGTTGATACTTAAAGTTTTCTGAAAATGAAATTAGCTGCCTTAGTACATAGAGTTCCTCATTGCTGAAGGTATTCTAGCACAGTCTGGATGACCATCTGATAACTGATTCATCTGTAAAATAAAGCGGTTAGATTCAATAATAATAGCTAGCTAACATTTATATACCCCTTACTATGTGCCAGCACTGCAAAATGCTTTACAGATATGATCTCAGTTAATCCTCAGAAACAACTCAGGAAGGTAGGTCCATTTTACAGTTGAGGAAAGGGCAGCTGAGTGGCAAAGTAGATAGAGTGCCTGGCCTGAGGTCAGGAAGATGCCAGTTCAAATCCATCCTCAGACACTTACTAACTGTGTGTCATTCATTTGTCCCTGTTTGCCTCAGTTCCTTATCTGTAAAATGAACTGGAGAAGGAAATGGCAAACTACTCCAGTATCTTTGCCAAGAAAATCCTAAATGGGGTCATGAAGAGTTGGACATAACTGAAAAAGACTGAACAAGGATATTTGAGGAAACCAAGGCAGATAGAGGTTAGGTGACTTGGCCAGGGGCACATAGCTAGTAAGTTTCTGAGGCTGGATTTGAACTTAGGTCTTCCTGAGTCTAGGCACAGAGCTCTATCCACTTTACTTTAACCACTAAAGATTCAATAATCTGTAAGGGTCCTACAACTCTCTGATGTTTCAGAGGGAATCAATGAATTGGGCAGAAGAGGTTGAATCAAATTAGCTGTGAGACTCCTTTGGGGTGCTGTGAGGTTCAAATGAGATAATGGGTGTAAAGCACTTTGCAAACACATCAGTTATTATCATTATTAGTATTAGCCCACAGTGACCTGGCCTCCATCCTAATAACTGAACTTTGTACTGCTTGTTTGTTTTGTTTTTGTACCTGGACTATATTATTAATAATATATAATTTCATTGGTATAGGGAACTCCCAATGAGGAAGCTATCTTTAAGGATGAAACTTCCTTTACAATTTACAATTCAGTGATTTGCCCTGGGTCAAGATAACTAATACAGGTCTGAGATGAGACTTCAGTGGCTTTGTAGCCACTAAGACTAAATGCTTACCTAACCCCATAGTCATTCTCATTTGCTCCTAAGTGCTGGAAACTTGTATGAAATGCTTTCTTCCTTGGTAATGGGACAAGACAAATCGATCAAGTGATTACATATAGATGCTCATTCTCCTCTGGGATCATTTGCCCTCGACCTCTTTCTGTCAAGGTAGTAATCGTATTGAACTCTCTCTCTACTCCAAAGGAATTGTGAGGATGCATTATTATGTGTGTTACTCTTGGGAAGTGTGGGGCAGCTAGGTGGGGCAGTGGATACAGTGCCAGACCTGGAGTCAGGAAGACTCATCTTCTTGAGTTCAAATGTGGCCTCAGATACTTACTTAGTAGTTGTATGAACCCTGGGCAAGCCATTTAACCCCATTTGCCTCAGTTTCTCATCAGTAAAATGATCTGGAGAAGGAAATGGCAAAGCACTCCAATCAATATCTTTGCCAAAGTTGGGGTCACGAAGAGTTGAACTCTTTGTAAGGAAAAGAATTGTGTAAAGGGCATCTAAATAATACAATAGCAACATTTACAAAGGTAGGTGGTACAAATATTATAATCCTATTTTATAGAAGAGGAAGCTATGATCTGAGAGAGAACTAACTTGCCCGTGGTCACACAACTTGTAAGTATCTTAGGCAGGGTTCGAACCCCTCGTCTCTTGGGCTTTTTTTGTGGCTGTTATCTCTTCCTTTATCATAGTCGTTTCCCTCTATTCCACATAGCTACAACACCTGTGACCATGTATGCAGCATTCTAGGTGGTATCTCAGGGGCTGGTACCACAGAAAGCCGGATAAAGAAAGAGTAGAAAAACGATGGTAAAACTTTTTTTTCCCTTGGAGTATAAGTAACGCTGATGAAAGCCCCTGGCCGGCTGGCGCTGACCTGGCCCGAAGTTAGGAGGCAGGGTGTGGCTTGGAGTTTCTTGGCCTCACTCTGCAATTACTCCTCGCCAGGAGCTTGGGCTCAGGCTAGACAAGAGGCTGGGCTCTATGATTCCCTTAAGATGCTGGTCTCTCTTATTACTTCATTCCCTTTAAAAGGAAAACTATGATCGGAATCCGGGAGGTGGTGAGGG